GCTCTAAAATCCAGGCAATAAGAGGCTCTTTCAGCCTCATGCATCGAAACAGCGACTAATGGTGATCATTGATAAGCTAAATTGGTGAAAAAATAGCCCCAAGGTCAGCGTGTCAGGCCCCAGATGTGCATTCAATGAATGGTGACGGGGAAATCATGAAAACATGCACGACACAACAAAGCGAAACATGAAAAATACAAAAAAAATGCGGAAGCAAAAAAATGGATAACCAGGCGGCAGTATATCGTTCTATACTTCGGCTATTATCGATCGCAACGTTGCGACGCTTTCATTGGAAAAACGTCATTGGAGCGCGGTTGTTGGACCTGCCAACGTCCTGGGGTCTTTTCGGGGGTTATATCTCTTTTAGGGGCGCGGCTTTTGATGAATGGTTAGCAGCATGCAAAGGAATGTTCCTACTGTTGCGTTTTCTACCCAGTTGCAATCTGAATGTTTCCCCGTTCGTGAAATATTTCGGATGGGTTTCGGATCGGCTAGGGGTAAATGGCGAGCGGGTTTCTCATGCTTCACACGAGGATTACTTATTTCGAACGCAATTTCATCAGAACAAAACCGTCTTCATAGCGCCCTATCTTTTCTCTTTCCAACAAGCTTTACAGTTTTTCTGATCAAAAAGCTACCTTCTGAGCTACTCAAAAGTTCGACTCCTTCTGTGACACCTTCGGAAACCTCAGTTGCCTTCAAAACACATATTTCCCTTCAAATGAGTGAAAGAGGAGCTCGGCTATCACTGATCGATTTGGTCCGAGTGTGCGCCGTGCATTGCTCCTAAGAGGTGGTGGAAAGGTGTAAATTCTGACTTCAGGTGCTTTTATCCATGCAAGCAGATGTTTGTTTAGGGTTTGGAAAGGACAATACGCACGAATCTGTTTGAGACGTATTATTTAGTCATCTACGTACTTACGAGTTCATGCTATTAATTGATATTTATTTATTTATTTATTTGTTCTTGCTATTTGCCATACTGCTAATCAATTTTGTAGTCCTTACATCCGGGTCTTCTGCAGCTTTCCGTCCGTTCCATCAAACTTAGCAATGACACTTTTGTACTGTTTGATGCCTAGCGAGCCTACTTTTGCGATACTCCCCACGTCCCCCGCGGCCAAGTACGATCCCCTTCAGGGGATTCCCATGAAAAGAGGGCTGTTAAACGGAGCAGTTAATCTGTAAAGAATACACTCATAATAATTTCCATTTTTTTAACATCTTGGCTTAGATAGCTCCACTCCCACTACCACTGAAATGTCAAAGCATTGCCCGGCGCTGACTGACCCTTGAGATTACGACCTCCCCTTCCCCAGCGGCCAAGTACGACCCCCCTATGGGTTTCGCACAACGATGCTGTACCCTTTCTCGTTTCTACTAGCGATCGCGCGTGAAGACCGACGCAATGTCTGCAGCTGCGACGTCACGCATTGTTACGCCTAGGTTTTAAAATCATCGTTTTATTCTTAGGCTTGATAGTTATTGCTTGTGTGTGCTGTCTATTTTATATCGCGTGATTTTTTACTTGTCATTATTCACAGTATGTACTGTATTGTATTTTATGTATTCACGATCGCTGGATAGTTATACAGACTTTTAGAAAAATGTTAATTCCACAGTGGAGTGCATATCCGACGTGTTTCAGGAAGATGGCCGGTGGAATGCATTTCCTTATTGGCATCGCCACCAACGACTATGTGATATTGGCAAGCGATAAAGCTACTTTCGCATATGGAGCTGTACTGGCAGATAGTGGTATGTCCATCTTTCTTTATCTTTTCTTTTTTTGTTGGTGATATCTCCTTCTTTCTTTATCTTTTCTTTTTTCTATGTGAACATCAGAAGCTGAGATACGTATATTTCGAGGGTCCACTGGACTGGTAATAGGAACGGTAACATAACTGTGGCGGGAAGGGTTCTTTCTATCCCGAAGTTTCTCAGAAAGAGGCCTTATGTTCGAAAGGTTTGCTATGTATAATTCAAGCTGAGGTTTCTCTATAAGAAGCTCAAACCTGGCAGCCTCTTGCGACTCAATGTATAGGATCGGCTGTTCGGTTTCGGAAATGGTTAGTCGTGCTGGTCAAGACAAGACGGCAAATAACACAAATAGAGAAGGAAAAATGAGAAAAAAATACGCACCCAGAATGTCATATAGAACCACATTCCTAACCTAGCTTGTACGTATACGTGCATGCGTGAAAGAGAGAGCGTAGTCGGACGAGTTCTCACTTGTTCGGACCACCCCTTTCCTCACAATGATGAGATCTCAAAGCGATAACCGCACTACAGAAAGCGTCAAAAAAATGAAATTTGGGCGTTACGGTTGTCAGAAGGCGGGTGGTGGCTCAGCGGATCGCGCTTTCCTCACGTATTCTTGAGCTGCGAAGGTAGAACATACTCCATGTTCGTGGACACATGCACATAAAATTAACGCGGAGTGTTCCTTCAATAAAGAAGATAAGGGAAGTGTAGCACTACTTCAAAACTCCTGCACTCAAGGCCATCGCTCGGGCTGAGCGAGGCATGGAAGAAGGGATCATGGTGGTATTCACATGTCTGCCAGTGGTTTTCCAAATAATAGGTTGGAAGGAAGGTCTTGTCACTGTTGTGACTTTTTTCTTTTTTTATTTTCTAACTCAACATACAGTGGGAATTAGTCAACAATATACTCGTCATAGTTAGCCACTACAGTGCTCCACCTAATGGGCAGGTAAGCATTCCCCCTCTCCCAGAACTGAGGAGGCTGCGAGTAGAGTAAGTCAGCGGCCTCTCGACTGGTGTCATCAAAGTTGCTGAAAGTTTTCATAGATAAGAAGGCCTAAGAAGGTGGAGCAGGTAGCAGTCGTAGGGGACTACGTCAGGAAAGTATGATGAGCGGGGTTTGGTCTCCCAGCCTTGCTCCTCAATTATTTGGTAGGTCTCCATAGCAGGTATGGGGTCTCGCGTACTACGAACGAGGTGCCCCGAAGCTAGTCTCGGTCATTTTTCTCCAACAGTTTCCACGGGTTTCTGGAGCTGAGCGACACAAATGGTAGCGGTGATCGTGTGTTCTTACAGGGCAGCTCGTTGTGCAGCATCCCCTCGCGTCCCAGGAGCAGCACAGGAGAACCTTCTCGGAATACATGCCCGGTTTGGACTGCTAGAATGGATCTTCTCCTTGAGAGAGACACACGGTACTGTGTGGGTTGAAATCATAGAGGACCCATCTCTCATCTCCACTAAGCAGTCTCCTAGAAACTCCTTCTGACGAGGGCGGAGAAGGGGAGACTGACCAAGGGTACCCGGGTGCGCAGCGTGCCATCGGTCAAGGTATGAGTGATCCATCGAGCCAGTACTTTTCGGTAGTCAAGGGCTTACAGGCGGTTGACGACTGTCAGTTAGGTACATCCGAGTCTTGTCGCAAGACTGCCGGTAACCTCCGGATCCTCCTTGACAGCTTCGAGAATGGTTGGAGTCTTCCACTTCTTGGGGCCGTTTCAACCAAGCTTCGCCTTCAAAAATCGAGTATCTTTTCGCGAAGCGAGCGAACCAAAGATGGACAGTCCTGATGAGCTTTCAAAAAAAACACTGGCAGGACTTTCCTTCCAACCTAATATAATACCTTTCTCCCAGTACTTTTTGATATGCAAACAACCGTTAGGGCCTTCGAATGCAGGACTCATACACACAACTGTAGCGCTACAACTGTACCAGACCCCAGCTTCCCTTTATGTTCTTTCTTCCGGTATTCAATCCCTTTTCACTGTTTCTCATTTCTACCTGATTCTTAGCTCCTCTTTTTCACTTAACATTGAATTTAAACAGAACAAAATTTAAACAGAACAGAACATTGAACAGAACGAAAACAATTTCGTAATCGGGATCAACATGATGCACCACTGCAAGACATCAAACATCAATAGCAACCTGAGACTGAATAATTAAAGTCGAAAACGGTATACAAAATCATTATCACAGTGTCCTGTATCAAAAACTACATTAAAATTCAATGTTAAAGTGAAAAAGAGGAGCTAAAAACAGGTAGAAATGAGAAACGAAAAAGGATTGAATACCGGAAGAAAGAACATAAAGGGAAGCTGGGGTTTAGTACACTTGTAGCGCTACAATTCTGAGTGCTGCCTTACCAAAGCTCACCACATTTCCCTGTGGTATGCACAGCTACTTATTTTGAGCGCTGCTAATGTTTCACCGTGAGGAACTAGCGCTTTCCTTTTCTTTTCTTCTTTGTTCAGCTTGCTGCAATTTCCTCGCCTACCACATTATAGATCGGGTGTGAGATGCAGCTCATACCTAGAGAAAAAAGCTCATTCATCTATCGAAGCCTGATTAAGGTGTAATGGGAAGAGATGGCAGAAAGAAGATTCTATTTTCTGATTTCTATTTTCAGTTTCACCCCTTTCCTATTTCATGCATTTTCTCTCTGAAAGCTACCATTCCTTGGGTTCTGTCATGCGTTGCACCTGAATTTTAGTCCCTGTAAGAGATCACGGAGCATATCAGACACAAATTTCAGCTTCAAACTCATAGACTTTGCTTATATGTAGTGTATTATACGTGTGTGCTTATTGATGTAGTGTATTATACGTGTGATCCCATCATGCGCAAATAGCCCAGGAAGCCTGGGCAGCGCTTTTCCTCAGCTAAATTTGTGATACTTGTTGATCATATGATCGTTTCATTTCCACCCAAGAAAGCAACATTCACGATTAGCTAATTCGGCACAACAGCATTTACCCTTTACTGTCCACCCCTTTAAGTTCCGGGTAGATTTTGGTTGTAGTTTTTACTTGCGACTAGACTCGGCTAGAATTCTGTACTATGAACACAAATATAATTTCCGCTTGACTCAAAACTGCCTGGGCTCTGGCGCCAACCAAACACATCTGAACACCAATTGGTTGAAATTTTCTCTGGGGTCTTTTGATCCCGTGAACACGATTATTACCCCAGCCTGGCTTTCAACAGGAAATGGATGTTATATTCGTGTTTCGGCAGATTCAAACTGCCTTGGGAATGAACATCAGGTCAAAACTACCTTTCCAGAAAACTTAGGACCAAAATTCGGCCTACATTTCAAATAGCGGGCAGTGAGGGTAAACTGTGCTTCCAGCACATTCCAACCCTTGCCCCTCTCAATAATGCGTTGTGGTATAGCTCGCTCGGATTTGCAGAAAATGACAAGGAGTACCGCTTGGGAAAGAAGATGACAATGATGTGTATCGGTGAGGAAGGCGATGTGGATCAGTTCGGTGACTGGGCGAAACGGAATATTAGACTTTATGCGATCAGAAACGGTTGGCACTTTTCATTATGCAATCCGTACACTCAGGTCCTCTATTGTGACTTTCGTTTAGGCTATGAGCTATGCCCTAGAAGTGCACATCACTGGATTCGTCGAGGAATAGCAGAGGCTCTGCGCACTGAGGACTATTACGCCGTTGACGTGCTCTTGGGAGGGTAAATTTTGAAAAGTCAACAATTATTTCGTCTGTGATAGGTTATTGTGAAATCCTTCGAGTGCCCAAAGTCATTCACCTTCAGGTACGACGACAAGGAAGGAAAGGCTTTTCTTGGATCAGTGGATTACCTAGGCAATGGTTTGGACGACCAAGTAGGTTTCATCTGTGAAAGTTTTATTTAATCTTACCTTGTGAACAGTTTGATCTACTTCGAGTTGTAATAAAAGCATTCTCTCATTGAAGCCTTATCTGTTTCGCGGCTTTCTGTGGTCGTTTCTGCTACGCCATAATGGATAGGGAATATAAGAAAGGTGAGTAGTTCTCTTTACAGTCAGCTGATATCATCTTTTCAGCCAAACTGCTGTTGTGAAGAGCTAATGTCAAAGAAGGGATTATGAGGTTACTCCAGAGGTTTCTATTTATCTTGCTCAGATATGACCGAAGAAGAAGGACTCTCTCTCCTGAACAAATGTATCGCTGAAGCAAAACGAAGATTTGTAGCCAATTTACCTGGTTACAAGGTAAGGAGATCATACGAAATTTATTCTGGAACTCTTCTCTACAGGAGTGATTTTGTGAACTCGTTGCGAGAATAAGGACGATGTGGTGCGTCAAAAAATGATACTAGTTTCATTTTGAGCGGTCACCTAGCACGGACCATGAGGTCAGCAATCGGACCCCCCCCTGTTACGTCGGAATAGACCACTTTGTTTTGAGAAAGACTACGATTGGGTAGAAACACATGAAACTGTTCAACAGACATTGATGTTATCTAAACCTTCCCTGGCGTTTACGCTTTGTGATGGCACGCGTCGGCATGCGTTAGCGCTGTCTGAAGACGGACTAACGCTGGGGTAGAAGCACTGGCTCGCATGGTATAAGTAGTGGTCGGAACCGAACCGCAATCGCTTATGCTGATTTTAAGCGCTCCGTGGCTAAATGAAACCGCTATTTTTCCGCATGTGTCATATCATTTCGTGCCATGCTATTTTGACAGGACCTTACAAAGATGCCCCTTCACGCACTTCAAGGGATGAAGCGCCTGTATTTGTTGTCATTTTCGGTAATTCTTCCTTTCAGGTTGTCGTCATCGACAAGAAAGGCTACAGACAATTGCCGGATATCAAGGTCTGAGTAATAAGGTTTATCGTAAGGAATTCCTAACACGAATCACGCGGCCGTTACGAGTTCTTCCTCAATAATTATGAACTTTCTTTATTATTGCTGTTGCTCTCAGTATGAAACATAAATTATTTTATTGTACAAGAATAACCTGTATTTCGTTATCAACATGGAACAGAAAGAAGGTAGTGAGTGCTCTAGTCGCTCTCGTTACAGAATAAAACACTATGACTGCTGTTTTTCGAAATTTATTGTGCCAAAGAAGTCGTTAGGTAGAAGAACTTTATGAAACTAGCCTGACGATTCGATAATGTGGCTCTCCTCGAGAGGCCAGTCCACCACAGTAGAACGGTGCCACTCGTTGTTAGCTGTAGTTAGACCTGACAGCGAGTGGCATCGTTCCGCTCATGTGGTGGCCCTGCTTCAGTGAAGTCCTCCAACTATCGACCTGTTTGGCAGAATAAAACTAAAAAAAACGCAGTTTACGATAGCCGAGGTCTTATGAAGACAGAAGCTTGACGCATGTCTGCTTTTCAAGGGTCGAGAAGCCTCTACTCAAGGCCTGCGCTGGAACACTATCAAACCTAGGAAGCTAGAATATCTATGACATCTCAGTAAGCAGTTCCTTCCGTTTCGTTTCGATAAGGTCTGAGCCTTTCTTTTCCATAGCATGCTTGAGGTCAAGCAGTAATTGATGCGTCTGGCGCTCTTCGTCGAGTTTCGTCGTTGACTGAGCTGATTTCTTGTCAAAGCGTATGTAAATCTGAAGAGGGAATCTAATACTTTTGCGAGCAAAGAGAAGCCTGAAAAGGCTGCAAAGTATGCATACTTCATTCAACGCCTGTTTGTATTCGTTCAGAATCTTCGCCTTGGCATCATGTGCCAGTTGTTCCCGCCTTTCTCGGGTCATTCTTGGAACAGGCAGATACAAGACCACTCCTTCGTGTTGTGGAGTCACATTAAGATAAGACTTCTGAAATGGAACCGAATCAAAACCAAGCGAATACTAACAATGGGTCCAACATTGAATTTCACACCTGAATGGCCAATTTTGCCCATTTAATAGCTGAAGGATTATCGGCAAAGTTGATCATAACCATTGTGGGGTTTTTCAAGGAAACTCGACCTAGGTGACCCATTTTGTGTTCCTGCAAAGAGCACGGTTAGTGAAGCAGTATAGATATGGCAATCTTCGATTCAGGCACGTACATCACCCTTTTCTAGTTTCACCAACAAATCCTCATAAACGCGGAGATCAACCTGAAAAGTGCAGCGAATGAGCTGTCTGGGAACTAATCGAATTTGAGGACAACCTGATACCTGAGGAGAGAAATGCTTCGCCAACTCTTCGCATAAAACCTCTTCAACCTCTTTCATCTCCTTCAATGCTCCTTGAACAAATACATTGTTTTCTGAAGCAGCAACGGCCGAATGGAGAACTGATGAAGTTTGCTAAAGGAAACGTGCGTGTTGTGTGAAAAATTTCTTTCTACAAATTGTGTAATGAAGCATGCTGCACAAGTAAAATACAATCCAGTTATTTTGCCATTGAATTATCAAAACGGCGAAGAGTCTTGTAAAACGATCAGAGGAAATGTACTATGCACATTGAAACTACTTTTGTCAACTTGGAGTGAAAGGAGTAAAGGGACATTTCATGGTAAAGTGTGTAGTATGTATAGCTCTACTGAAGAATAATATGTATTGAATCCCAGAGAAAAACAGCCGAAAAGTTCGTTGTTCGGAAAAATAATCGCGCAAAAGGAGATGTCTCAATGTTCCCACTTGATCACCTTCACAGACCTATTCCGCTATTAAGAAACCATACATTTTAGGAGCCGCGATACTTTAAATAGCTAAAGCGAACTTTACCACCTTAAATTCCAACCTTGCTCACTTGAAAATGCAGTCAAAGCTTTGAATGTCAATACAATTTCACACTAAACTCGGAAAAACCGAAATGGGGCGCAGCGGCTTGGTGGGGGACCTTTTGTGGTTGTTTCCTGTGGAACTGTGAAGTCCGCGAAGCTATGCAATAGCAGGAGCTCCATTCACAACTGAGAAGACTCTGCACTTCTCATCCGATGAGACGCGTAATTTAACAGGAGCAGAAAAGCAAAATGCTTTACCAAGCCGGAGAGCACCGGACTTAGGGCACGGATCATACCGAAAGCAGAAAAAAAATCACAAAAATATGCTTAGTTACGGGCAAAGTCGGTGGCGGTGTCAGCACGACCTTTTCCCCTCTCCCTCGAAATTGTCTCCTTCAGTACGCCTCCCCTTTCTCTGCCTACCAACTGTCTTAGAAGAGTCTCCCAAACCTCCACCATCGAGCGTAGAAACACCTAGTACTTTTACCGCTCCACAAAATCGGAGGGAGTGAGGCGAGAATTCGAGAAACCAGCAATGAAAAAGCTTTTCTTTAGAGGACGATATATGACCCACCTCTTCCAAATAGGAAGGCCGAGTAAGATTTGCGCAACGACTGCCGTACTACATACTCTGCCGCAAGGAGTCGGATGTGGCTCGGGTCAAGCTTTGCCGCCGCTTGCTCAGACTTGCTCATCACTCAGCTTCAAAGCGATGACTTGTGCTGCGAAGTGCGCGGAAAGCAGCAAACAAGATGAAGAAAACAAAAGAATGTTCACTGTCGTCTCGGGGCCCAGTGTAGGAGCAGAAAGAAAGCAGCGAGAAGAGAGAGGGCAAAATCAAGATCTTCGAAGATTTGTGTGCTCTTCATTTGTGGAAGCATCAGCTTGCATATTAAGCATCAAAATGATGACGAGGCGAGAGATTTGACCCTCCCCCCTCAGTCTAACCCTTTAATAGGATGTCAAATCCGAAGTTCAAAATTATGCTCATTTGGAGAGTGAATGAAACAATAACATCAAGAATAGAAGAAGGGCAAGTTCTGAAGTTTACTCACCTTTTTAATCTTCTCAGTTCTTCTAACTTTGTAGTCGGCAGAGGACAAGTGTATCCGAAGAACTGACGGAAGAGGTCGGGACAGCTGGCTTCGCAACAACGAGGTAGCAAGACGAGAAGGACCGAGGAAAAGCGATGAATTCATTGGCCTGAGTTTAATTATTTTAGTGCAAATTTAAAAGGACACACCACCACTATGAATTACGATGCAGAAATAAAAAGGTGAAATGAAGGTTAGGTTAACGTGAAGTGTTGCTGTCGTACAATTAGTGAGATTGGACGTGATTACGTGAAGTTGACGCACTGACAGAGGGACAACGTCGGGAGATCGCTCGGTAGCATCTTCCAAATCGTGTAACTCGTACGGATAACTAGAGTAATGGATTTTTGTGAATGATGGTTCGCATGAAGCAATTATACCTCCGATACTCTCTGGTATAAATACCATTTTGAACTATCTCACTTGATAATGCAGAGGCATTGGAGAAGCAATTAATGTTAGTTTCATTGCTCAAGTGTAAGGACATGTCAATGACAATACT